TGGAGGTGTTTGCATATTTGATAGAGTGGACAGAGCTGGTGAGGATGGCAATGATGAGAGTTGCTCAGATGGCAGAGATGGCTTATCAGTAGGTATGTTCTCTTCCCCTTGATGAGGCATTGTTGCATCAGGTATAGCAGTATCTGTGCTGTTATGTCTGTTTGTGGGAGATGTATTGTCACCAAGAGGATTTATAATATTTCTGTGATTTCTAGGAAATACACACTCATCAAATACAGCATGGCTGGAGGTGATGAACTGCTGTGTAGAGAGGTTCCAGAATAGCCAGCCTTTTACTCCCTCTGGATACCCAACAAAGATATATTTTTGAGTGTGTGACTCTAATGCTCAATGTCCTTTTTTTTATACTAGCACATATGCAAGGCATCCAAACACATGAAAATGGAATATATCTGGTTTTCAGTGATTTGGGTCCTATTCTGTGAAGGGTGTGGTGTTTGGAAGAGGATCTGTGGGGATGCAATTTCAGACATGAATGAATACTCAGAGAGTGAGGTTCCAAAATGATGGTGGGAGATGTGACTCATTTAGCATAGCAGTGATGGCCTCTGCAATTGTGTGGTTGGCTCGTTCTGCTGTGCCATTCTGGTATGGTTCATTGAGTTCAGTATGTTGCCTTTTGATCTCATGCTCAGCACAGAAGTCAACAAACTCCTTCCCCATATATTCACCATCTTTGTCTTCCTGAAACTCAATGATTTTGAGTCCTGGATGGGTATTCTCTGCATATGCTTTGAACTGCTTAAAGGCATTAAAGGCATCACTTTTATACTTCAGAGGTGCAACAGCCCAAGTGTCAGATGCACTGCAGATGAATGTTATCCAGTAATGATAGCTCTCTGAAGTTGCAACAGGCATTGGACCTTTGATATCACTGTATACTCACTCAAGAAGGTGTTGCTTCCACTCTGAGGGGCCACAAGGAACATTGTGGCAATGCTGTTTGCCAGTGAGGCATGGTATGTAGATAGGATCAGTTGGAGGACCTGACTCTTGCTTCATTCCAGTTACTAGCTGCTTTGTATGCATGTGCCATATAGTGTCCATGTTTTGATGACAGCAACATCTGTGCCAAAGTGTGTTGTCCATCTGGCAGGTACTTGTAGAGCTTGAGTTTGCAATGATAGTGGTTGATTTTAAGAACAAATGTGTGGTAGCATTGACATAGCTGATATTGCTCTTGTTTACAGTTGCTGTGAATTGAATCTTTTCACCCTGGCTGAAAGTGACATCTGATCCAGTGATTGAGATCTTAAATCCCTTTTCCCATGTAAGATGATAGGGTGATAAGAGATTCCTTTTCAATGCTGGTACATGTAATGTGTCAAGAAGTTCCACTGCTGAGCCTTTCTCCCTCTGAATCTCTGGCTCTAATACTACTGACCCAATCCCTGCTGAATAGATGACTGAATTGTCTGCAAGATGAATGGGAATGACATGTGGAGCATAGAGTCAGAACCATTGTTGGTGAGGGGTCACATGATGAGAAGCACCTGTATTGGTATTCCAATGAGACACAGCAGGTGATGATAGATCAGTACTTGCTTGGCTAGCAGTCTTCTCCTTTGTCTCAGCAGAGTTAGCAGCTTCCAAATCCTTCTTTCCAGCCTCCTTGTAATGATGCTTTCCAGCAGTATGGTCAGCAGCATTTTCATGGTCCTCTTTAAGTGAGAGCTTCTTGGTTATACATTCTTCTTCTGCATGATTCTTGCAAAGGCACCATCCACATTTTGCAGTGGTATTGGTAGCCAGATTCATGGCTGAATGGAAAGGTGTGACTTTGAGAGTGACAGAGACTGCTGGATCACCAGCACACAGCTTCTGATTGTTTTCTTCATTGTGAAATGCAGTGCAGAGTCCTTCAAGAGTGAGTTTATCAGAGAGAAGGAATAGTGATGTGATGAAGTTTCCAAATTCAGGCTGAGGAAGTGCACAAATCAGGGCCATAACAAGAAGCTCTTCTTCTAACTGCTGGAGGCCAAAATGAGCAGGATGCAGAGCATGGATACAACTCATGATTTGAGTGCTCCAACTGGCAAGGTCTGGAAGTGATTCTTCTGTCTCCTTCTTGAGATTGAAGAAGCTATCATAGGCTACAAATCGAGTCACCGGTTTTCTTTGCTGATGGTGTGCCTTTAATGTGTCTCACATCCTCTCTGGATCATCAAGGCAGAGGTAGATTGTGCTAGCAGCTGATATCTGAGTCTCCTTCCAGTCCTTCTTCTCCTGGAATGTTGGCTTCTTGGGGTCTGCAAACTCCAGTTAAGAGTCACAGCCAATGGTGATAAGGTATTCATGGCAAGTTTTGAGTAGGGCTGACATGTTTTCTTCCCACTCACCATAATTGGAGGCATTTAGGTTGTTGAAGCCTTTTTTGATCATGTCAAAGGATGGCATGATGTATGTGGTGATATTGTTTCAGTAGTGAAATGACTGATGGAGAGATAGCAGGGCACAAGCAAGATGTGAAGAAAAAAATGAAGTAGGCCTTAAAGTGCAGGGCCCATAACCTGTTGCAGGCAGGTTACTTTCACACAGTGGATAATAGGCCAGACTGAGCATGATGGTCAATTGCTTAAAGGCTGAGGTACATATGACTACTACTTACCTGAGTATGACAGTCAATTGCTTAAAGGCAATTGACTATTGACTCAGGACAAAACTGTCTATGCTTATATAAGGTTGACATCAGATACTTGTGTCATCCTGCAACAAATACCATGTCGCACATACATTTATATATTATTATCACAACCATCCATTGATGGAAGGCCCATATGATTATAACTTCAGGAACAGTGATAGCTATGAGCATGAGCATCAGTTGGTGGAGCCCTATGAAAGCCCATCTGTGAGATTTGAGATCAGGACCTGGAATGTTTAGATGCATGGCGACTGAGGTGCAAGTGAAGACTGTCACAATGCAGCTGAAGATTACATACCAGGTGCTTTGATTGCCTGATGAATCATTCATATTAGCTTCGTTTTGAGTGTTGCTGGTCTGAACACACTTCTGCAATGACAGAAGAATAAGATCAAGCAGACATGAGATCAAGGGCAGAGGTTTCCTGTATTTGTGGTTAGAAAGAATCTTGAGAAAAAGTGTCTGAATGCTCACATCTCTAAAGCCTTATGGGAGTCAAGATAAGGCAACTTCTCTGAATTTCAAAGCTGCATAGTGAAAAAGTAAATGATGAGTGTCACATTATGTCTGTTAATGCATCTATCAGAATGGAGGTTAGGTATGTGATCTGGTTTCCAAGTGATTTTATCTCCTGTTAGGATTAAGAGTCATCAAGAAGGGAACAAGACTAGCATGCAAGACATAGTAATTAGATGTTGTTACAAGCCTATGAGCCAAGAAATTGCATCCTGGAATGAACAGCAGAGCAATTTTCACCCCATGACAGTCAAAATGCCCTGAAATTTTTAGTGGTTAGCATTCTGCTGAATATCATCCCAATTTACAGACCAAGTGCCCATGACAGGTGGCTGTGAACTGGATTTTACCAGGCCACAATGATGTTCAATGATAACATATTGGCAGTATATTCGCCTAATTTTGGAATTGCCAATCCCTGGTAGGTCAAGGAAATCTGGAGAAACATGCAGGGTCTCTTATTTATCCTATAGGACTCAATAAATAGGAAGCAGGAGCATGTCTTTCCCACTTGAAAAAAGGTTCCCGACCTTGGACTGGCACAACTTCACATATGAAAAGGAAAATGATAACCAATGACTAGGATGGAGAGCTTCAGTCACAATGAGGAGAGGCAAGTGAACAGCAATGCCTCAACTGGTATTGCCATTATCGATGCATGTTCATATAGGCAGAATTCCTTTTCACATTTCTGACTTTGAGATGCCAGTGTTCCACTGAAGTCTCAATTGGCTCTTTCAATACTACTGCTTATGCATATATCTCGGTACTCTCACCCTCCACTTGGTTAAACAAGTGTGCATATTACTCTGTACCAGGGCTCACAACCACAATTGCAGTGGGGAATTGAATTTATCAGTAGTGACCACAGCAATATGTTGAAATATGCCCTGCAGCATGGCAGGGTCCCCAAGGGGGAATTGCATGAGTATGTTCATCAATGATAATGATCTAGTTTATCAAATCACACCCACCAGTGAGCCCACAACTATATCTGGTTCTGGTATCACCTTCTTTGCCTTTATGCTGCAAAATCTGGCTGCCTTCTTTGGGGCAATCTTCTTCACCTCTGGCTTTTTTCTACCAGCAGCGATAGCATCCTCCAGCATAGGCTAACTACATGTTGGGATAGGTGGAGATGTTCCAGCATAGATCCAGGTTTTACTCTCTTCAGAGGGATGCAGCTCTGGGGTGAACATCCACAGGTTGGATGTAGGTGCTTGGTTGGGGGTTATCATGATCATCGTGAGGACAGTGAAATGGCAGAGTATGTTCCTTTCTTTGCTCTCTTCGCATTTATAAATGCTGGTTGTTGATCATTGACTTTCAAGGTTCACAAGTACAATGCAACCCATTGCCATGATCCAGTGGCACACATCATTTCCTGTTTTCTTGTCAGTCTGGATACAGTCTCTTTTTCAATTCAAACCAGTTCAATGGGTGGTCCCTGTCCAATGTTGCACAGTGAATTTTACTGTTGCAGAGGTATAAGGGGGTCTGTCAAGAATTGAAGCTTGCAGTCAACAGCTTGCAAGAAGTCACTTCAAGACTCGAACTTTGAAGAAACTTTGATGGTCATCTGGATACTCAGAAATGCTGTCTATCTTAATTCACCCAGTGTCAACAGTGTGTGGACACACTATTTCGGTTGGACAGACCCATTACCAAAGGACCAGTCACTACATTCATGAAAATGATGGTCCGACAATCACGTGCTTCAAGCGGGCCACAGAAGACCCCGAAGCAAATCTGTTGACATCATAAAACAGTCAATCTCACATATTCGGTTCTTTCTCACTCTTCTTTCCCAATGTCAACCATGAAAGTCAATGCCTGTGCCATACTAGCAGCTACCATAGCCAGCGGACTCAAACCGCACATTTTTGAGGACAAGCTTCAGGAAAGGGCATGGTGCAAGTTAAGATTGGCACAAGCTCTGAGGACATTTGGTATGAGCACCTTCAACTACTGCATAACAACAGAAATGATGACCAGCTTACCAGGAAACCGAGGCTATGATGAAGAAATTGCAGGGCATGTCAAAGCTAGGGTATGTACATTCATTCATTTCTGCATGTTTACTCACCAACCCGCCTTTTCCAGGATGCAATTGAGACGGAATGTTTCTGGGCCAATCCATGGGTACTGGTGCTCGTCAAGCTCTACTGCCTTTGACTGTCTGATGGATCTCAGGGTCTCCACTTCAAGCTCATCCAGCTGGAGGACCTCCTTCTAGTTCACTTTGAGGGAAAGATATTGCAAGCTGGGAAATACCTGTTGAACACTGCGGCATTTCTTATCCATTCTAAGATCCATGCAGCCAGGCCTGATATTATATGCGCAGCACATTCGCATTCCCTTTATGGAAAGGCCTTCAGTGCACTGGGAAAGCCACTGGATATGATTTCGCAGGATAGTTACACATTTTATAATGTAGGTTGATCCATTTTGTGATCGGTGTTGGTGCTGATGCAGAAGTAGGATCATGCGGTGTACACGGATTACAGAGGCATTGTATTTGACATTGAAGAAGGGGATACGATTGCTAAAGCATTGGGATCATAAAAGGTCGGGGACACTATTTAATCTCCAATATGGAATGCTCATCAGTGGTGTCATAGGCAGCTATACTCCAGATACAGCAAATATCATGATATCCTACTCAGTGAAAGCTGATGTATTGCCAGAATCACAGTCTGCTTGTTGCTTCTGATATGATCGAAGCGGCCGTATGGTTTTACATTTCTCTGGAGAAGGCATGTCAAGTTCAGCTCCTTGCCGATGCTGCAGGGAAGAAGGTGAAGATTTCGTCTGAACAGGCTGCAGAGACAGGCTCAAAGGTTGGAAATAAGACTGCGGGATGGTTCAGCGGCCAAATGGAGTTTGCTTTCTTGGAGAGTGAGGAGCAGAATTCCTTCGTGTACTTGAAAGAGTAACATTCTTTGTAATCATTGAGTTCCATATACTAGATACAGTTCATACATGTCAAAACAACAACAAAGCTACGAGCAAAGCAAATTATATGAGAGAGCGGTAGCGTTTAATTGTTCAGTGGATACATACTGGGATGCGAGGGAAATCTTCTTTTCTTCACTAATGTGTAGTCAAGAACTTCCTTCCATACTTCTTTTGTCCTGGGCAGACACACCATAGAGAGCCATGTCGAAAACGCACTCATACTGAATCCCTCCCGAACTCGCAAAGACTCAAACATCACCAGGGAAACTTTGTCTACCTTGAGCTGAGGTCGAGTAAGGGCTTCGTCAAGCATAGCCCAACGAGGAACTTTTGTTGGAAACTTGTTCCAACTCGCACGGGAAATGTTTTCGATGTCGACCTCCATTTCGATAGTCACCCTGGAAAGGTGGCGCGGACTCTTGAGCTGGTGAGGAGTAGAGGCCCACCAGTTGACGGTCATGTTCGTCTCAAAGTTCTTGTCAGTGAGGAAGACATAGACGTGGTTGATGGCGGTGCCGAGGTTGAGAGGCTCGAGGGGGGTGACTATATACGAGGAGAAAATTTGTATCAGCATGCAAAAGAAGATTATGACACACATGGACTTGCTTATATTGAAACTGTCGATGTAGATCTCCCAAAGGATGGGACAGAGCCTGATGATATGGGAAAGCCGGCGAACGAAGTTATTGTCGTTGCATATGACACGGGAACGGTGCCGGAGGGTCAGCTTGGACAGGTTGCACAATGCAACGAGCGAGCGACGGCTCGCAAAGAGATCGAGGAAGATCCAGCCGGTGGTGTTATCGACATATATGGAGATTCCCTGGATCTCTGGTCCTTGCTGACCGTCGCTCATCTCCCTGGGGGTGACAGAAGTGGCCTCCATGGGATCCGCATGCGCGCTGTTAGCCGACTCGTATTCCCGAATGTCGATGTCCTGCGTCTCCAGGTTCTGGAGATTGGGGTAAGACCCGACGAGGGATATGAACTGCGATTCGTTGCATTTGACAGTGTGTGGATTCAGGACGCAGACGTTGGGGAATGAGGAGAGCGCGTTCATGAGGATGGGGAGGTTTCTGGCCTCGAGGAAGTTTTGGCGCCAGATGTTCATGCTGTTGACGGGGATGTGGGGGTCCTTGAGTTGGGCGAAGAGAAAGGGGATGTAATCGTCGCATCCGATTTGGTCTGATTTGCTGTTGATGTAGAGGGAGGGACCATGTTGGTCTATCGGTGCGGGACCGGAATCTGCTAGAGCGCCGAGTAGCGGGTGCAGATCAGAAGCAGCTTGTATGTGAGTGTACAAGGCTTCGGATGTGTAGGTCTGGTTCCAACCGTATTTGAGAAAGTCTTCCAGGCCAGGTGTTTGGGCGGTAGGAGCCCCGCGTTGGGGTGGCGTTGTCAATCTAGGGAAGGGGTGAGATGGTCATTGAGATGGAAGAGAGCAGAGGCAAACCTATCACCAGATGAAGGCACGATGATTAAATGAGTTGAACGGGTGAAGGAGAGGTGTATGTATATTCCTTGAAGGTGCTGAGCCACTCGAAGAGGAGCCACTGAAACTTCACCGATTTAGGATTTCATCAAACGAATGCCTATATCCATAACTATCAGGGTCGTGTTGTTAGTCAGAGGCTCAGGAACACGCACGTACGACGCGTCGAGATATCGTTATGGCCGAATTAAGGTACAATGTGACTTATTATCTTTCCTGGTGCCATGGTATTTCCGTTTACAATAGAGGCTGTAATTGTGGCACAGAAGAAGGATAAGTCGGAGTGGTAAAAATCAACGCTCCGTCCAGTAACTTGGTGCTAAGTACGATTCAAGCAGACATCTTGATGCCTGGCGGCATCGCTTTAAACAACTAGGCGCAGCAGTCTTGAGGCATCCCTAGTCAACCTGGGCGGGCCCGGGTCTTGAAGAACGTACTCTTGCCAGGATCCTTCATGCTGCAGGAAATTTTCTCAATCTTCAATCAGTCGTTCAGGAATTTATCGTCCAAAATGTATTATTGGAAAATGTTTCTACGAATTGCCAGTAAGAAGCCAACCAAAGCCTTGGGAGAAAATAGCATAACCTACATCAAGCAGGCCCCGGTTCAAACTACCGGATGGAAATGTTTTCAGGGCTTAATGTTGGTGTGCTCGCCAGAAGTGGAGCAAGTATGTTTTGCTTGGATATTCGGATAGCTGAAACAATCCGAGTCTAGTTGGCAAAGTAATTGTCAAATAGCGCCGCTACGTTGTATTCCAGGATACCCTTTTCGGAGGTAAAATCAATACGAAACAACAGAATGAAGTTGTTCTTGCACACACATTCCGAGTGTTCCACGGTGGAACAACCAGCAGGCGAAAAGGTTGCGGGAAAGTCTGGATAGCCACATGGAAGGTTGATCTTACCCTCGATCCTCCGAGTCATTGACATCGATCATGGTTTTCTACAGATTTTAGCATTGTCTATGAAGCATTTCAGGTTCTATGGCCCTCGCCTTTACCATCTGTTGTCATAGAGTCTCATGCATTCATGCTTTAGTCCATGTAAAGTCTAGGCATCTTGCATGGGATGCAGTGACTTTGGTATCAAAAATGCCTCCAGGAAGTTGAATTCTATTCCTGGACAAGTTACGGCGGTAACAATTATTTCGTACTTGCGCATTCTTCGTAAATGGCCGCAGGCGTAACATTTCTTTAGGATCCAGCCATGTTCCTGAGCACCAAGCATACGAAGGGCCGCTAGCACTCGGACCGAAGGGCCAGGTATCTCAAATCTTTGGACAACGTTTGGTGAAACAATGAGTATTGATGACGGTTTTCACCGACGAAGAAGAGAGAATCTACACGTGTAGAACATTGTCCTCTCGTTTGCGTATTATGGACCAAGCAGAGTTCTATTGTCCCTTGCAGGCAAGTATGTGCCTCGAACATCCATTTATAAATCCCCTGATTCGCAGGACATAGACACTAGCGAATCCAAGCAACTATCGCTGGCTTATTGTGTCCATATTGTGGCGTTTCTGAGCGAAGTAACCGCCGCTTCGAGGATATACACAGCCTTAGCCATATGCCTACTCTTCGTCGTCGCCTGGTCCAACCCAAAGTACCTTCCTCTTATTTCGACCTTCTTCGATACTGACATTCCCCCGTTTCTAGAGCTATGGCGCCGGCCGTATTCTTTAGTGCGTATTTGACGCTGGGGAAAGGTCAATCGCTCTCTTGCCGGGACCTGTACTCGGACATTCAACTCTCCCCTACGAAGCTCTGTGCTTTGGCTCACTCGGATCAAAGAGCCTTTGCATCTCCACAAGCCGACGGGGAAGGGAGCGAGTTGGTCATCGATGATCCGAACTCCGCTGTCCTTGGCGGCGGCCAGTTCTTCCATCTCCTTCTCAAACATCTCAAGGATCATCAGATTTCAATTGCCCGCTTAAAGCTGTCCGGCTTGAGCTGGTTCAGTGTTCCTGACGTGAGGACGTGGCATATCGTGCTCACCTCGTTCCCGAGTATTTCCTCGTTGTTTCTGGATGGTGTCAAATGTGATGAACTTCACTTCCTGGAGCTTATTCGGTCGTTCCCCACATTGAATCATCTGAGACATGACGAGAACATGATCCGGGCGTACGAGTCGACGAGAAGTTTGGGTGTGGAGAATGTCGAATCACGATTTGCGAGCATCGAGGACATTTCTAATAGACAGCAGGAGACAGAACTGGATTTTGTTCATGTTGGTATCACCACTATCTCCGACCGGATTATGCTCGGCCTCTTTATGACTCGAAAATCTCCCGTCGTCCTCCAACATTTGAAGGAGCTTATTGTCCGGGACCATGCCAAATTCGTGTGTGACATAAGCTTCGTTCGCCTTCTGAATATGCTCCTCGAATTGACGACCTCCCTGTTTGATCTCAACCTCGATAACTTCAGTATCAGTATGTGCACAGATCGCTTTCATATCATCGATCATACATTTATTATCTTTCTGTAGCTCAGTTTCTCCCCCCTCTGAACATTCCGAACCTTCACTGGTTTCACTTCACCATCCGTTTGAACTGTGCATTTCAGATGGACCAGGCGATCTTTTGGTAGATAAATACGCTCCTCCATCTGCCGAGGGAAAACCAACTCAGGATGATCACGGACACGGTGGAGATCGATGTGGAGTCGATTCCCATTGGTGCTCTGTCCCCTCGTGACATCTCTGCGTGGACTGCATTAGACCGAGCGATATGCCGCGACGAAATCCAATTGGAGGAACTGTTCTTCAAGTTTTGCGCGCCTGAGGATGACGGGCATGTTTATCGCTGGATATGTACGCGATGCGGTCCACTGAGGACGATTCGTGCTTTACCTTGCTGAATGACCGTCATCAGGAGGTGAAACTTGAGGATTTCTTGTAATGCTACAGAAAAATCTTGATGAAGTGTATGTAACTTGGTGGCTGGAAAATACTGTTGACGTAGGGTTAGGGTTGAAATGCTTTGTATGTTTGTTTTCAAATTGCTATCGTGACGTACGTTGCTCTCTACTATCACCATGGACGACGAGACGGCAGAAATCGAGCTGGTGCGTCCGTCATGCTCGCTATACGTGTAAATGGAACCTCAAGTCTTGTTGCTCTAAGAAAGTGACGCGCGTTCGTAGCACCTAATAGAGTACACTGTTAGCTATAATGTAGACTACAGGATACCAATCAGTAACATAAACGAAGTAATATAAGTAGATACTCACCCTCACACAGCGTAGCAATAAGCAGAAACGCGGTGAGGGTGTTCGACGGACTGTATTCAATATATATAGTCCATCCCGACATAAAGGGGTATCGAGCTCCGCCGGCGGGATACGACGGAGCTCCTGCTTGCTAATCCAACAGTTGCCGGAGCAAAACCTTAATAAAACGAGGTAAATATCGCAAAGAATGGCAAGTAAATTTCATGCATTTTCTGGTAGGCAAATACTTAACCAAACAGCAATTCTTAACAGCTTCGATACGCCCCTCGCCAAGCTAGAGAATTCTATATTACCGCTGTATACGTCTACGCAGATCCTCAACCGACGTGCAGGCAGTAGGTCGCGGTTTTTCAAGCAAGGACGGTGAACTGATGTTCAGTAGACATCGAAAAGGCTTTACTGAAGATTGATGAACTGGCGAGCAATCAGGAGGGCATTGCAGCTGACGAGGCGTTGATTCTCCGTGGGTACGTATATCCCTTCTCTTTGAATTCGTCTTGCTTACCGTCGCCAGACCACAGCCCAACCAGCTCGACGCATATAGGGATGGATTGCAACGTCTCAACGCCGCCATTGCCTTCAAAGGTTCTGAGAGCAGCTCACTGGAAACGGTGCATTATAGTATCCATCTCCTTTCATATTTTCTGATGTCGTATCTAGGCTCGTTTGGTCGAGACGGGGGCCAAGAAACTGGCGCAACTCTCTGCGCGCGTTGCCGCTGCCTTCGACGCATCATCCATCACACCCTGCTTTACCCTCTATATCGTCTATACTCAAGGAAGCACAGAAGGGATATACGGACATGTGTGACGCGTGGTGTCGCAAATGTCTAGAAGGCCGGGGAAAGCGAGTGCTGGATCGCGCCGATACTATCGATCCTATAGCAGCTGGGCTGGAGTTTGGGAAATGGTCTGAATCGATACTTGACGTGGCCGTGGTCTGTGTTGAATCCCTATCTCGTGATAACTTTTTGAACACTGTATGCAGGAGGAATTGAATCTTCTTGAAGATCTCTCGCCGCTTTCGAACTCGCAGCTCGCGTATGGTGCTCTCATGAACCCGAGCCCCATGCTCTTCAGTAACACGCTCAATTCTCTCATTGGTTTCATCAAGCGTTCCCTGCACAAGTACAATTTTCTCACTCTTTCCTCGTACGAATATATACTGTCTTTGCAATCTCTGTAGGACAAGACTATGGTTCGGAGAGGCACCGATGCCCAGAACGAGGCAAACGAGTTTAAAGATGGCTTGCAGAGTCTTCGAAATGTTTGTCTTCGAAGCTTCACCGAGTTCCTAGCTGATGTGAAAATGGCGTCTATGGTCAAGGGAGGAGAGTTAGGCACTGCGCTTGCCAATTTCGTCGTTTCGGTATGTATCTCCGTGCCCGTTATACCTCGTGCTAATCATAATTGTAAGGCGGCATATTTTGAAAGCAACTTTTCGCTGCTTATGTAGGCACTAAGCGAAGAGAAGGGGAAAGCGGCTACCAAGGAGAGGTTCACGAGGTTCTATGATATGTTTGATGAGGTCATTGAGCGATACCGGGGCGTGGTGTCTGTTTTGGACGATGACGAAGAAGGGAGGGCCGAGCTCGGGGAAGAGGTAGTCAAATTGATCATACCTTCATTAGAAAGGTTTGTGGCGAAACATAGGGAGAAGGGGTTCAGTAAAAGTGTGTTCAATTTGCTGAATTAGGTGGCATCACTGACCTGCTGCGTAGATCTTCAGGAGTGTACGTTTCTTCCATTTTGATTTCCTGATGCTTCTTTACTGATGCTTCCTCACAGATATAAGACTTTGAGTAGAAGATGTAGAAACGCAGCTGCGATCTATATATCGATAATGTCTGAATGGTATGTATTATTGCGGTGTCTCTGTACAGTTCGATAGATGTTGCTATGCAATGACCGTAAAGGTCGATATGTCCGCCCGCATCATGATGCGTCGATTGGCAACCTAAGATTCGGGCTTTCCTCTCTTGTGATTTGATAGCTGAGATTACGCATTAAGCCATCCTCCAGTGCTATGGCATCCATCATTAGCGATATATTTTTCCCCGGTTGGTGTCCTGTTCGTGTTCAGAGAATGAGGACTTAGCATTCGATGATCGTCGCTGGCATCGTATCTAACCTCTGTTACATGCCCCTGATGATTGTCGGCCAGTAACTTTGACCGCCACCCTCCTCTGTGCTTTGTCTTTTCCAGTCCCGTTTGATACACTGTGTCTCTGTTTGGTAGGTATCATTCTGCGAAGCATTTTCTGTGGCTGAGGGTGTGTTGGCAGACTCGTGTCTTTCCCTCTGGCATATGCGGTTGAAGTAAGCTTGTAGTTCTATAAGTCTCCTTATGGAGAACATATGTTTATTCTACTGCGGTACTAGGTCTTCCTTGTTTTAACTCGCGCAACCTATGGGGGTGACAATACACCATCGTCATCCGCTCGCACACGCGTATTGGTGAGTCGCTCTTGCTTGATTACATTTTTGTGTTTATATAGCGTTCATTTAGCTGCTGATAGTTCCCTCATTTAGCTTTATGGTGGTTTTCTCTGTGATACTTTTGGTAATAGGAGATGTTTCTTTCACCTGAGAAACAGCTGACCCATGTTATAGATGGGTCTCCGACAAGGGGAGACCATCTAACGCGATGAATGGAGCCTATACTGCCATTCAACTGCGTCATCTCCGTAAGTCTGTTGCCGATTTCTCGCTACGTATTGACAGCATTATGTAGGACTCTTATTACAGCCATCTTCGTCCTGTTCGAGGCATCTACTATGATTATTTTGGAAGGTAGGCTCGTCCCGAAGTACCGCTCTTGGATCTAGTTCAAAAGCTGTTCAAGTATCTATGGCAGTCATCTTATGGAAAACTAAGAAAAGGCTGTAGTCAATCGAGGCCAACGACAACCTTTCTTCGATCTTCCCTGCAAGCCTCTTCTTCCGATCCGTAACGTTTGCTATATACATTCTTCTGGGTATAGCGTTCGCGGCCGCTTTTTTTTTCTATTAAAGACGAGATAAAGATATCATTTTTAGAATCAGTGCTTCTATCCTTCCCAGTCCAACAGCTAATTCTCCCATTTGGGAGGTGATTTTGACCACGCGTACGTGCTGACTTGCTCTTATTGAGTTTCTTATTGACAATGATGTATCAGCCTCCATTGTGATGGCTTTGACATTTGGGATACAAAAAGTAAGAACTTGGCTGTCTGTCTGATGCTGCGATCTCATATCAAATTGAACAGGATATGATAGCGTTCTACTGGAACCCTAAGAGAAGTGGTAATGTCGACAAGGTGGGTTAGTTCGACATTCTTATCCGGGGCGTTGCCGTCAAGGAAGCTCCGACATTATGGAGTTGCAGGCTGGAACGCAAAATATCAGTGTCAGGAGTCTGATTTATATATTCGTGTATCTGTTAGGTGACATGTTGGATTAAGTTAGATGTGTCAATTTTAGAGCCGCCATCGATTTGATTGGGTTTATTTCGCTTACGGTTATTTTCTAACTGCATTTTTATGTCTTTGGCTTGTAACACCACCAAAAAAACATCACCCTTTGCACCCCACGCGAATACACCAGAATACACCAGACAGAGTCCAACGATACCCTAAGTAAGACAACACAACCAGAAATTATATGGTAACGACAGTGAAGCGGGATATATAAGTATGTATTACACATCGACGAATTAGATGCATCACAAGAGTTCCTTCAGCTGCAGCCATGTATTCATGCATTTTGATTCACAGATATGGTGCGGATCTTCTAGCATAATCTCTCTACATCCAATCTTGCTTTCTCCTTCAGGCGAGTCCTCACTCAGGAATGCATCTTCTCCCAATACGACAGTCTTTTCCTGGCTCTTGTCGTGCACCAACCCAGGACAAATGCAGTAGACAGTCTACTTTTCTCCTTCTCCTCCGCTATATATCTTATCATTACATTTCCACCCAGAGAGAAAGCCAATCCTAGAAGAGGTGCATCAGGTTAGCAGTTTTGCACGTAGATCAGAGCTTGCCTCAGATCATTTGTCAATCCTGCGTTGTAACATAGCGACGAGGCGATTGCTACGTTAGCACTAGCGAATTTTGTCAATTTTGAGCAGTTCATCTTGAGGAAATCAGGCTTACATCCTCGGAAATTGACTACCACGGCTCGATAACCAAGTCCACCTCGGTCGATGGGTGCACACGCGGGCGAAAGTATCCCTTTAATATAAGGCTCGCACGAACGCGTGGATTGATTTATAGGTGCCCGGATAGATACCATCCCGTGGACACATATCTCCCGTGAATCCCGTTAATACCACTATTATCGGAGCATCCTGCGCCGCGGGCACGCCTTCGGCTGGGGTAAAATCAGATCCTCTTAGGCTGTCCGGTTACCTGGGTTTCAAAGATCAATGAACGCAATATACAATATACCGCGTCTATATGGCGAAGATAAGTCCTGTAAACGAGCTTTGTGAAGCGCAATACATTATACGCGCAAGTATGAAGTGCTGTACCTGGAGTATTGAATATGTTTTTTGACTTGCTGAAATCCCCCACTGCACAGTATACTGTTTGTGCATGACCACTGAAGATGCAACCCATGAGCCCTCTTCAATAAAACGAGCCGACGAACGTGCCTGTTTAGCCCCCGTACTTTGAAGTTGTCAAATAGACTGGGGCAGCGACCTTCAATAAGCTCGCATAGGGAGCTCCATTCAGTTCCTTTGTTCGGGCGTAATTGGATGGTAATGAGTACTGGAGACGACGGCTACGAAACAATGGTATTTTTTGTCATCGTTATGCTGAGAACGAAAGACCTCGTGGGCTTGGTGTTAGAAGTCTGACGATATCATCCATCAAGGGAAAGATACATCCTTACGTGCTGGGGAACAGACAACGCCGCGATACGCATCTCCGAGATGGTAGAAACATGGCAACTGATATTTCAGTTGCCTAAGTGTGATTTTGATCCAACGTTTTCGTAAATGAAGACTGTGTGGAAGTGGACCGTGTTAAATATCTCGTGCTGATGGACAGTGAATTCTTTTGCTGATGGAAGCCAGTGAAGATCGAAGACGCGGGCAGACCGGATGACTCGCTGAGAGGGTAGTGGTTTTCACTGCGGTCTACATAATATAGCCTTATATGGTGGAAAACACGTAGATTTTGCGCATTCAGTTGTTGAGTTCCGTTATTACCCTCTTCATTTGACATGAATTGCGGTGCGCCGCTCTCGTAGAGCTTGCTTCATCCAAATCTGTTAAAAGACCCGTCATGATTTGTTCCGTAGGATACTTATGGTCCTAAACGACGTCAAAGTTCTAGCTGATTTGTGAGTGCCTTCTGCAACTGAAGCTGTACAGCTACGCGCAGAGTAATGTAAGATGATTCAGGGCTTTTGGGCGTGTCAGCTTAGCTTGATTTTAGAATCAGATTTCCTAGGCTGGGTCATTCAAGAGACAAAAGCACAGAAATACGGGAGGCAAGTTTTAGTACTATATTCCACACACACGAGCTCCGAACTTGTTCGGAACGGAAGTAAGCAACCTGACTTCGAACGCAACAATTCACCTGGCAACACTACGGCACTGTCGGCTTGCCGCTGCGACCCGGACTACTTTCAACGACGAACTTCGTTGTTCAGTTGAGTTCAGTTGTATCGCTATCCTGGACATGATACTCGCCACACTGCATCAATTGCAATAGCAGAACTACCATCTACCACTAACAGGCTTTGAAGACTAGCCGGAGAAACGAATGCTGGAGAATCGAACCAAGGTGCCATTCATCACAGCGGAGAATCAGTCACCAGTAGAAGATTTTGCGAAGTTACAAACAGCATTTGCGCGCATTCATTCTTAAATTTTTATCCAGGGGCCAGAACCTTGCGACACCTTCAGCTTGACGCTCAATGAACATTCTAGGAAGCAAGGAATTCTCGATATGTTTGACAAACCTGTTTTGCTGGATTCCACTTCCGCCTTTGTGTGTTATATTTACCGTAGGTTAATGGCTGATAATACAGCAGTTTTATTTTCTCTGGGGTTTAAGTATCCTTGTCAACCAGCATCCGTTCACCTATGGTGTCTATTGAGCCGTATGTGACATTACCGCATCGAACGTACCAACCTTCCTTCCATCATCAGATTGATATTCGCCTGTTCTATTTTGTGTTACACCCAAGGGATATACCTTTAGGCATATGACTGGCTTTGAGATATTGGGAATTACTCTTCGTGTTAGTATTGTTCATGAGTTCAGCTCATTGGTATCTTGTTTTGATAGTCTAATTTGCAATGCTGTTTCGTCTCTGTTCCGTGCTTACATGAGCATGAAAGGTGTCATGTTTCGGCCTTCTCTACCTCTCTTTTCGAGTGAGATTTGTTCATAACATTTCCTGTGCTCTTTTCGCCAGGCAAAAGGATATGACATAACTAAGGCTCTTTTTTGGAGGCTCCTCCGACGGGAGGAAAAAGTAATTCGTGGTGTGCTTCTTGGTATGATGTCGGTCAGCAAGAAAAGATTTACATGCGTACGTGCTTCCATCCTGCCTCAGGACCATTAGAACAGTGATAGCTGCATGATTATTTAGCTCGCAAGAACAGTTGGTCAATAAATTATGGATACCCTTTTGCAATTTGCAAAATCGTAGTATGACATAGGTAATTGAAGATGCTTTGTCTTCAGATTGCGATTTGTTTTCTGCGCTCATTTTTCAGTATAAAAGACTTCGACTACGACTCCAAAAAACCGTCGAGCTCGGTTCTACGATGTTGTCCAAGAGTGAGCATTTATCTACTCATATCTCAGCATAGTTGTTGTGCTCCTCTTGCCCGCAATCTATCTGTCATTGCCGGAAGTATCTTACGGCCCATTGCAGGTGGACATTGTCTTCTGGCTACACTACTTGTCTGTCTGATGGTACTGTAGAAGTTTCTGCAGGCGTCGCCGCTGATGCCAGTCTCGACACGTTACTGCGGCACTCCGTCAAGGCGCGCAGTCGCACCCACGCTCGACTTTTCTGGCTCGACTTGGATTTGGACCAGCGAGAAGACCGGTGCAGAAGATACCGCACCTACGGGAGCACGTCCATTCTGTAAGGCCATCCTCTCCTCCAGCACAACATGTCCGGTCTGCGCACTATCATCATCTCTTCGCGAATGGATAAGCGATACTAACGCTCTCGTAGCGATGACTTGTACTCCATCGTTGTCAACGGAAATGAAATTGGAGCAGGAAATGGTTACAAAAGCTCAGCCGTCTATACCGCTGGCCTTGAACCCGAAGGGCACAACATCTTTGCTATTTCCGTGAACAACACGGGAGGATCTGCCGACCTCATTGCCACTATCCTTGTGGACTACCGCGATGGTACCACTCAGACTATCGTCACTGACACCACCTGGAAGACGATCAAAGCTACCCCCCCCCCGGTGGTTGGACTAGTCCGAGCTTCGACAATTCAGCTTGGATTGCCGCAGTGTCTGAGGGACCTACGGAGAGCACGCCTTGGGGGAGGCCTCCACTTCCCCCTGCCATGAATATGGCTGGAGTCAAGTGGATCCATACGAATGAGACATCCGCCGCTGGGGTAGACCCTCTAGATCACAGACCATTCCGCAAGAATGGAAAAGCTGCTGCTTGTGGAAAAATAATCATCACCGCGTACATTTCCCTTCCCTACATCATCGTCCTGATCCATCTCACCGGACTTGCAGCGACGACGAGTACACGTTGTACTTCAACGGGAACAAAATTGGAAACGGTAGCAACTGGCTAGCCATGCAAGGCGTATTCCATTCCTATTCTGGATGCGGATGAGAACCTGATTGCTGTGGACAGCATGAATACGGAACCGGTGCATGCTGGGCTCGTCGCGGGTGTTTTGGTGATGTATGACGATGGAACATCGGAAACGTATTACACGGATGACTAGTGGAAGACGCTGGACTAGACGACTCCGGCTGGCTTTGAAGACATGGATTTGGATGACAGTTCATGGATTAGTGTGACGGAGTGGGTGAATGGTGAAGCCAATTTGGTGACTGTTCCGCTTGCGTAAGCTGTCTTGTATGATGTGCTCAATTGGACTTTGCTTTTGTGGTGGAACTTACTACTTCTATACCTTTTGATCTTCAATGATATGTTGGCATTGGTCTCTTCTTCGCAGTTCACTATGGCTCCGAGTCGGTGTGGCGGTTTGTGGGAGAGAATTGGTGTGAGCTTAAGTGAGTGAATTGAGAGAGAGAGATCCAGAATCAAAGTTATCGCATGCAAGGATATGGCCTTTCCGTAGTTTGGTCGTTTAGTCGAGGTCGACAGAGTTGTGGCTAAAGATTATGCGACTAAGAGCAGAAATATTTGGAGGGCTTCATCGGGATAAACAGCACACAGAAACAACGGAAGAGCATGAAACAATTCAGCGGTGAATATAAGAAATGAGTGTGGAAAGTATCAGTGGCGGGAGGCATGCAGGGGGAACTATTAGTTACTCCATGACTCCATGAGTCATGACTCGGAATTAATAACCATTGTCCGGAGCCATGTGAATTTTAGTCCTTTGAAGATTGAAATGTGTAGATACAGTTTGATGGAAATGTCTTGACAGCCTCTAGAATCCCATCAGGCTCTACAGCACTGTCACAGTATATGTCATTGCTGACATAGATGATCATGCAAGGCTGTGAGTTGCTTGTGGAATGGCTGGGCATGGGGGAAAGTCATGGTGTTCATCAATACCAGATGTATCTAGGGAGAATTTGAGTAAATAGTTTATAAAACTACTCACTGGGCTTGATAGTTAAGGTTCTTGGCTTGCTCAAAGATTTGTTACTTGGTGGTCAAAAGAAAAGGGAAGCTAAATCAAATTTTCGGAACAGGTACAATAAAGGGAGGCCAGGGGTAGCTGCATGCATGCTCATGCATCACCAGAGCCTGTACATGTTGGTTTGTGATATAGAAGTATCCTAGAACCAAAGATTCAGAAGAAAGGGAATGTCCTAGCTCATTTACCTCAGCTTCAAGCAAGAGTAAACCACCAGGGATATGTGCAACTATGGCACAGGGAGAGTACACTGCCCCACTCAGCATACAAACAGTGGTCCAAGCCATTGTATCTTGATCCCCAGCACACTCTGAGGAGGCATTGTCTGCTGTAAGCTTCAGTTCTCACATCAGACAGGATAGGCATGGGTGTTGTGTTGACTTAAACTGGAGAGGAATTTAACAAATAGAAAAGTAATAAAAATGAACTGGTATATGCATTAGACACCTATATGACCCATGCTAATCCTCCTTCCAATGCTTGGAATAGCTCTGTTGTTGGAGAGGTGAGCCACCTCAATATTGGTGTCAAGATCTTGAAGATACAAGCCCTTTGAGGCTGTAAGGCCCAGATGCATGCTCATCAGTCCATGAGCAATGCAGTGTCATGCTTGGATGGAATAGAAACCTATACAGAAGAATTGAAGGAAAAACAGTAAAGACAGTGGTGAAAGATAAGAGAAAGATGTGGCAAATTAAAAAGGAAGTATGAGTCAGCTGGTCTGAGACATTGAGTTTACGTGCCTGGCAACTCGTACTACCACAGTGCCCAGTTCAACTCCGATGGACAAATACACCTACATCAGTTTACAGGCAAATTGGACTCTGAAAGAACCAAGCCACCAAATTCAGGGTAGATGCAGACAGTTCCTGATTCCAGAGTATAATGTGCCATTGATAGCAGGTGTTATACATCCTCAGTGATGATGACCAGTAAAATTGCTGGAGCCCGAGTGGCTCTGAGGCGTGGTATGGTTGGATCCTTTGAGAAAATTGTCAATGAAAGGAGAATATATTTGTATCATCTCAAGAGAACAAACTGTTTCAAATTCAAGCATCATATCGATATGCTAGTTGTGTATACTCAGACTAAGCCAAGTTGGAGAGCCCATTCGAACCCCGGTGTCTTTTACGCCTCACTGTCGACTCCTTTCTCTGAAACTTGTTACATAAAGTTTCATATCGATACCGTTCTTCCCTGGTAAAGAAGTTTAGTTCACGCCACTACTCTCTTTATTTCTGTCGATGAGAGTAAGTCGAGTGTGAGATATACGGATATACCTACATTGTACGAGCTTTCGTTATCATGCCGATGGTTCAACAGCGCCGTGTCTCAGCAGGGGTTCAATTCCCTTAGGCATATGTTCAGTAGCGAAGGATGGTTGATTTTTTTCTGCTACTCATGAGTCATTTGTCTTCCTTTGCTTTTTGGCAAACAAAGTTAGAGGTGCCGAGAATCGAACTTGTGGGGAAAAAAAAGGTGATGAATAACATGCTCCATGTGACACTCTAGCCACTACACTGTAGTGCTACGTTGAACTTCTCTTAAGCACTTGGCCTTGAAGAACGCCGAACATTGATTGACCTAGCTGCACAGGAAAACTGAATTGAAGGGGTATTGCACACATTTCTCGTTAGTCCTTGTATTGATGCTCACTTCCCGCCACTATCAATAAGAAGCTGAGGGAACTCACGCTTCAGGGTGTAAGAACTTCATGTTCTTCCTGGCATTCATTGACATTGATGAAACTCCTTTTTTGTCTTCAGAGTGTGAAGTTCGGCCTGCCACGGTGGAAGTCGGTCCAAACGACAACCGTTGGAGAATCGGCACTTGGTTTTGGTAAGGTCATTGAGCTGAAAAAAAAAAAGGCCCAACTTCTAACCAAGCACCAACTCTTCATTGACTTCCTGTCATTTGACATGAGAATGCAGAGAATCGAACTCTCGGGCCCTGAAAAAGTTTCAGGAATGAACTACAAAGGTAACATTAGCCATTACGCTCAAGTGCTACGTTAAGAAATCGGCCAGAAGATTTGAGTCGGAGTTACGAGTTCCCAGTTGGACTCAAAATGGCAATCAGATTCCTCCCACACCAATCTGATTGAGCTCTACTACTGATGCTCTGGACTCCTGCCATTAGTGCCACCTATTGCAGTTATTCCAACATGCCATTGCCTACTATATCACATTATCTGTTCACCTAGTATTCCAATCTTAAATGCCACAATTCTCTTTCTCTTCATTTTGCTCTAAATTGCTTCATGTCTGCTGCAACTAGCACTTCCACCTTGTCACTTATCAGTGCTGACCAACTATGTTCTCTACTTTGCATAACTCCACAAGAGGCTCTGGAGGAGTACCCTCACTTTGTGAGTGACATTCTGCCAGGTTTTATAGTCTTGGGCTGAAGTTATTGATCCTTTCCAGGCTCTTGATCCAGCACTTCTTCCTGACATTTACTGCATTGAAAATGTAGTGAACTGGGTGTCCTTGCAAGAATTAGCAGTCTGTTATGGCTACTACATTTAACAGAAAGCTGTTCAGAAGCTTTCACTGACAGAAACTGGCACTACATGCCACCTTCAGTTCCAATCTCAAAAGTGTTAACATCAAAAAAGTACAGTTACATGCCCTCTGAATGTCCAGGCATGTAATTTTGCGAATTATGATGATACATTGACTGCATCCCAGTCTACTATGTGTGCAGTAAAGAATATGGCTAGAACACAGTAAAATGGGACTTGTATGACAGCTGGCTTCAGTGATGATGGGTGGAGAGCATGGCCTAGCAGCAGGATGACATCAGAGAGGGTCATACTGCACATGAGGTCCCAGCACTTGACACTAAATGTACTAATACAAGTACAGAAAGACCCACTAAAAATAAAGAGCACATGATCAAAATACAATCAGGGCTTTGTGCACAACCTTGCATCATATTGATCAATGATGCATAGGTATTAAATTGCCAAGGGACATCTTCTAGAACAGAGCATTGGTGCACAATGAGATAAACCCAAATATCAGAGAGATTGACTGAGAAATGAGAAGATTTGGGGAAGAAATGACCAGAAATAACTCCTGTGCATGGGTTAATTGCCCTGGTGAGATAACAAAGTGAAGAGACCAGTGGCTACACCACTAACAGAGATAACCAGTGTCAGGTTGCATAGAAACAAAAGGCAGTCCTAACCTGGAGCAGAATATGCATGTCAGACTGTAACATGTGTGTGAATGATATGCCAGGGACTCCATTCTGGAGTCCTGCACTTTGAAACTACTATATTTAGTGTGTCTTAGTAAGTACAGTAGTAGACTATTTAAGTACTGCATTGTAAGAGTAGTAGGTAAGTTTCTGACCCCCCACAGTTGTAGTGTATTGGGCACAGAAAGCCTTGCACTCTAGCTCTGGGTTTGTGTTTGTAACTTCAGGTCAGAGAATAGACCACTTTATTAATATCATTGAGAGAAAATTGTGTGAGGCACAGATGCTTGTGAGGGACTCTAGTTTGATTTAATAAGAGGTTTTGAATTGCACTCTAGCCTAAGAATAAGAGAGCAGTGTCTAAAGAGCACTCTTTTGAGTTTTTGAGGTATTTGTGATGTAACATGCTATAGGTGGCAGAGGTTCAAACCCTTTGGGTCTGTCATACAACATTTTATTGTGTTTTGTGTCTCTGGATTGCATAGGTTTGAATCCTGTGGATCTATGATCAGTTCAGAAACTTGTGTGCAGATATTTGACCCCTTTTGCACTTGTAGATGTGTTTGTGAAGTGTTCCTGCTTACAGCATGAAGCTTTGATTCATGTAGTGTGTGTCTAGTGATTTGGAATTGATCTGAGCAGTGCTTAGAACATTTTTGAGAGTTTTGTGAGAGTGTTTTGATATATTGAGCTACAGTACCCTTTGTCTCAAGGCCTGGCAACATCTATTGCCACCTCTTGTTTTGATAAAATGAAAAGCTCTGAGACTTAGAGAGATCTGAGACAGTTATACATGTGCTATTACTATTTGTCACAGTGAAATCATTTGAGAAGACAATTGTACTTGCTACAGCTACTCTATCACATTATAATCCCCCCAACAAACTAAGAAGTGTTGTGTATATGTTGGTGTGGTTGTGATCAGTGGATAGCACTCTGCTGTATCTGTTTTCATCTTGCACATATGCAGAACCTCTTCAACAGTTACATCCCACTGAGATGCTACTGCAATATAGCCTGAGCTGGAATTAGGGAGAAGATGCTATGCATTGATTTAATGGTGTGGAAGGAAAAGTAAACTCTTCCCTCAGCATCTATTTTCATGTGTACTAAAATATAGAGAGCCACATACAGGGTTCAAAAACTTCATTAGACAACTACCTGCATAAAGCTGTGCTTCAGCATACAAATGAGGAATTAAACC